TCCCCACACAATTTCCCTTTGCTCATGCAAATTACAGCAGAATCTTACCCTTATATTAATTTCAAGGTTTTTAAGTCTTTTTTTTTTTTTTTTTTACATGGATCTGTTAAATCCTATTTAAGCATCAAGTGTAAACTTGTACCATTTATGGAAGTAGATTTCATCCTAATATCACATATAAAAACATGGGCTGAAAGTCTGCTGTTGGAGATTGGGTATCGAACAAATTAAAAATATGTATCCTCTGGTAGGGCTTCTGTATTTTTCTTTTTATTATTATTATTAACGATGACATTTGTGGAAAATCTTAACTTTTTAAATGTGGTTCTCACCAGAATGAAGCCTGATTATGTAACACCCCACATTACCCAAAATCTTCCCACCAGCATCATCCAAGTGTGAAGTTTTTTTTAAGAAAATCAGGACCAGCTTGTATTTATTCACATGTTTGAGCTTGAAGCAACTTAAATGGAGGAATTTGGCTCTGTGCGACTCTTTATAGAATAACAGGAAGTCAGATTACCGATGCACTTCGATGACAATGTGAAGTAAACATTTCCAGCGCTCTGATCATTCTCTTCAGATGAAGCAACCGCTAACGCACCTGCATGTTGGTGTTTTGCAGATAAACGATGCTACCCTTGATAATGCTAGGCTGATGCTGCAGATCGATAATGCCAAGCTGGCAGCAGAGGACTTCAGAATGAAGTGAGTGGAAAAAAATGTGTTATTTTGCTAAAGAGATCTAAGTATTAAAAAGATGACGTCAATTATTCACACAGCTGAGTCAGGTTATTTGGATGTTTTCAAAGACCTGTAGCGGTCAGTAAAGAAAGGAAACCAGTAGAACCAGTCTGGTTGTACTTTTCTTTGTTTGTTTATTGATGCCTTTAAGAGGGCGCAGCAATGAAAAACATCTCTCTTCACAGGTATGAGAACGAGATGGCACTGCACCAGTCGGTTGAGTCAGACATTGCCGGGCTGCGCAGAGTTCTGGATGAGTTGACCATGACTCGGTCCGACCTGGAGATGCAGGTGGAGGGCTTAAAGGAGGAGCTGATCTTTATGAAGAAGAACCACGAGGAGGTGAGGCAATAGAGAACAGAACTGCTGTGATCAATGATGCAGCATATGTAATTAAGGATTCTTTAGTTATAAAAAATGTCATTAGCCTGAGCACTTTCCCTGCTATCACATGAAGTGGACTTTTGATAATTCTCCCTATAATCCCAAAAGTACAATTGATGATTTAAATATTTCTGTGACATCTAACTTTCCAACAAGGGTGACTTTTTCCCCCCTTAAAAGTCTGCTGTATTAAACCCTACACCGGCATACTGCCCTCTGGTGGAAGGTTTAACTTTCGGGAAAAGGCATTCTTCCTGAATTTTTCTTACAAAAAACTACATAGAAATGTTTTTTTTATGTAGAATTCCCAATGTAAAAACTACAACTCTTCTACTACCTTTATTTATATTTCCATTACAAAATTTGACTTAATGTAAAAAAAGCAATATCTCCCCCCTCAAACAATCCCACATTTTAAAAGTTGAAATCAATTACTAAGAACCGAGACACGCACTCAGTTGATTGTCTTAAGAGTTTTAGGCAAAGCAGGGAAACATATAATTACCTGAAACTATTTTGCATAAACTGGTATAGCTCTGCCAAGAGATTTAATCGTTTTCTTCCACAAACAAAACTGGTCTAGACCGAGCGATGAGCTAAAACTTCCATGTAACTCTGTAAAGATGCCAGGAGTGAGTTTAGCAGGCTGCCAAGAATGATGACTCATGCAAGATTGTCTGATAATAGCAAGTCTCACATTATTGTTGCTGACGAGGCTTTTTTTAAAAAGTTAGTCTTTGACTGAAAGGATGTTCACTGCACCTCTAAACTCAGACCTTCTCTAAAAGCCACTTCCCTCTTGGATTTGGTTTTCTGGATTTTTAAACATGTTTTCCTGTTTGCAGGAAATTGCAGCCCTGCGCAGCCATGTCTCCACCAGCTCTGTGAACGTGGAGGTTGATGCCAAGCGAGGTGAGGACCTGTCTGTTGTCCTTGAAGAGATGCGGAGTGAGTATGAGGGAATTGTCGAGAAAAACCGCCGTGAGATGGAAGCGTGGTACAAAGTCAAGGTGAGGGAAATTGGAATTAAAATGACTAGCTCCATATTCACTTTATGCTCATTTTTGAAGAAAGGTGTGGAGAATTCAGGAAAAATTTTCATGTCTATCTTGAAACCTTTTAAGTTTGAAGAGCTGAACAAGACCATGGCATCCAGTACAGAGACTCTCCAGACATCCAAAAGCGAGATCAACGAGCTAAAGAGGAAGCTGCAGAGTTTGCAGATTGAGCTTCAGTCTGAATACAGCCTGGTAATCTACACCACTGACACATAACATGAGCAGTCCAATAGGCAATCATTTAACCCGTCTGTCGCCATTAATAACTGCCACTGGCAGAAATATCTAAAAATAAGCAATTAGCCCTCAGAGAGCCACAAAGTAAGCTTTGTTTTTTTTGGTCTCCTGTGCAGAAAGCTGCCCTGGAAGGTCAGCTGTATGAGACAGAGTCACGTTTCAGCCAGCAGCTGAGCGACCACCAGCGCATAGTGAACAGCCTGGAGGAAGAGCTCAGTAGAATGAGAACGGACATTGAGCGGCAGTCCTCAGAATACCAGATTCTGCTGGACATTAAAACCAGGCTGGAGCTGGAGATCGCCGAGTACAGAAGACTGCTGGATGGAGAGGACGTGAAGTAAGAACAACCCAGAGATGAGAAATCTTTGCAACATTCTGTAGCATGGGACACAAATTTGAGCTGCTTTTTTCACATAATGGTGTAAAGACGAATAATAGATTATGATTAATGATTTCATTAACATGTCTATATTGATAGTAAATAAAAATTTCCTTCTAGGAAAACTGCAATTGTGGAGGTGAGGGAGGTTAAGAAAGAAGTGAAGGTGGAAGAACGTAAGTTTGTTTCAATCCTGCATATCTGAACGCTTTATGGCATTATTATTGTTGTACTTGTGTTTTTTAGATAAGACGTTGCAAACAAATGTATAAGCTTTAATTGCTGTCAGGAATAACAGTTTAATATAAGATAGGATCAATATGGAAAACATCATTTACATTTTCTTTTTAAATGAAAAATTTTAGAAGACCCATTTGTAGCGAAGTTTGAACTTTCTGTCTGATTACCAACTAATTACCAGGGAACATCTGTGTCTATATTGCAATTTTGTCATTTTATAGCTGCATGATTAGGAATTTATATCATAGCATGTTTATGGTATATGATAAAGAGGGATTTTCTTAAATTTGAATATTTTCCCACAGATAAACCAGTCATCACCAAGAGGACAAAGATTGTGGTTGAGGAGCTTGTGGATGGAAAGGTTGTGTCCCGTACTGAAGATGTGGACTTGGCGGTCGTCAGCGAGTAAACTGAGCCTAAAAAAAAACAAACAAAAAAATGGGTATTTTTGCACATAAGCCTAAAAACCACTCAGAAGCTATAAATATTTATCTTCCAGATTTTTTGTGTAGTTTAGATGTTTGGTCTTATTTTTTGTCAAAAGTTATTTATTTTGATTTAGAGTCTGGAAAAAAAATGCAAAGCCAGTAAAATGTGTTTTAAAAAATAGATTACATTAGCAATTAACTATAAGCCAAAGCAGAAAAGAAAGAGAAGGTAGTCCACGTAAAGCACTCGCTGTAAGTAAAAAAAGAAAAAGTCAACAGTACACTGGCAATTTAAAAGAAAAGTGCAAAAGAAAGAATTAAGTTTCGGTTAGATGTGGACATCAAATATGATCTACACCTCTGTGTTGGTTTTTTGTTTCTGTGGGGGCTGTCACTTTCAGTGTGAAAGGTCATGGAAAACATATTTTTATTAATGATTATTCTTTTCTGACATAAAAAAAAATACCTAAGGTGCTGTATGTATCGATTGTACACTCTGATAAACAGCTCTCACCACCTCTGGAAGAGTTGTATCTGTATCTTTCTAAGGAGTTGAGCCCTCATCTTGTTTACTTAAATTTCTAGATGTGAACGATAAATAAAAAGATGTTGGTTAAAAAAGGAATATTGTGTTTTTGTCTTATTGCAAACAAGCTAGTCATTATTCCATAAGGGCCAACTTATCCACCCAAATAGTAAACACTGTATTGATAAATGGTAAGTAGCCTACTTCAAGTCACATGTTATTTTGGGTCAGTGTTTACTCCCTTAATTGGCCTCCTTCTAACACTGCCCTTAGCAAAAAAAGTAGTGTACTTGAAGTAGATTTTATTAAGAATACTTAAGTATAAGTTTAGAAAGTATACCGAACAGTACTTTTAGTGTACTTGAAGTATTACTAAAGTAATACTTCTTCAAACTAAATTGGGACATTTTTAAGTTAACTAAACAATAGTATTGTTAAGTATATGAAATTTTGTTTAGAATAAGTAAACTCTAAGTGCATTGCCTGGTTTTAAGTATGCAATTAGTGCACATTTAGTATACTTGAATAAACTACTTTTTGCTAAGGGGATAACAATGGTAATCTTTGTTAAATATATTTGCTTAATTTCTATAGACAACCTCTAACTATTTTATGAAGGGATTTGCGACATTTTTAATAAACAACGTATCTTACTAAAAAGGATTATCTCATGTGGTGGCTTCTAGCGATAAAGTGCAATGATTTCATATGTCCACTAGATGTCAGTATAGCCATTCTAGTATTTCCCCTCAGTAGTTTTCGACTGCAAACAAATGGATTGTCTAAATAAATAATTATTGAAAACTTGTATCCCCTAGAAGCATTTTTTTCTCTATTGTTTTTTCTTTTTTTTTGCTTGTCAAAACGTTCTTTATTACAGTCTTTGATAAAACTACTTTAAAAAGACATCCAGTGATATATATAGCACACATACACACAGAGACGTATATATTACATATTATCATCTGAAGTTGTTGATTTAATTTAACTGGTTTGATAACTTTAAGTAACAAATTCATCTCCAAATAGCTTGGTCCCTCCTTATATTTTCGGTTCGTTTTCGCTGGAATGTCCCAGTGGCTTGCCGTAGAGAACTCCGTTGCCCCCGTTGCCTTGGTTACAGCGTTCTAAAGAAGTTGCCTTCACAACCGGCGCAATAAAGGAAGTGTTGAAAGCAAACCAATCGGGGAAAACATGGCTTCCTGTCAGGCTCCTGAGTTCCCCGCCGTCCTGGTGGCTCTAGAGCACCTGGAGGAGCTGAACAGGAGGCTCAGACAGGACGAACTCCCCTTCTCAGCTGAATGCAGCGGCCACCTAACCGCCATGGCGGCTGCTGTATCCGAGCTGGACGCCTCTAGGCGAGCTGCCCGTGAGCACCTGGAAGTGGAAACCATAAAAAGCAGCAATCTTAGGCTCCAGATCAAAAACATGTCAGATCGTCTGAGTGAAGACATCATGGCAGACAGAGCAGCAGTCCGGGCATCCAACGCCGAGGAGATGGAGCAGCTGCGCAGAGACCTCGCTACTTCTTCCCAAATCCAAAAGGAGTCTGAGAAGAAACTGCAGGAGCTGTTAGAACAAGACAAAGTGCTTCAATTAAAGAGAGATGAGGTGAAGGGTATGCATGAGGTGGCCATTGCCACTCTGAATGATCAAATGAGCCTCAGATATAGCAGACAGCAGGGACTGGAGCAGAAGCTTGAGCAGATAGAGGAGCTGAGGTCCTCCACTGCTGCTGCTAAGCAGGAGAAAGCATCCGTCCTGCAAAATATGGCTCTGGCAAGGAGCGCTTTCTCTGAGGAACAAGAGAACTGGTGCAGAAAGGTGGAGGAGATCGAAGGAGAGATCAGGCAGCAGAGAAATGTAATTAGTAGGATCAGACGGGAGTTAGAAGAGGTTAATGGGAGGAAAGATGAAACAGACAGCTGTCTAAAGGAGTTCAGCGTTCAGATGGTGCAACTGGAGAGCAACCTGGAAAGATTGAAGGCATCCAGGTCCTACTGTGAGCATCAACTACAGGAAGAAGCCAGTCGGTTTCAAGAACTGGGCCGACAGATGGAGATGCTGCAGAAGGAGCGTGACGAGTTAGAGGATGTTCTCAGCCTCAAGGTCCAAAAGCTCAAAGAGCAAATCAGAGCAGTGGAAGTTAAACTACAGGAGGGTCAATCTTCTGGACTGCTCCTCAAAGACCGTTTGGACCAGATCAGTAAAGTATTCAGGTGCCGGATTGAAAAAGAAAAGGAGGTCCGGGCTGATTATCTGTGTGTCTCTCTCCAGCTAGAGCGCTCTGGTTTGCAGCTGGAGGAGCGTATCACCTCTAATATCAGACACAGCAGTGAGATCATGGAGATGGAGAGGCAGATCCAAGAGCTCCAGGAAGACGGCAAGATTAAGAGGCGTGTGTTCGAGTCCAGGATGGAGGAACTGCACAATGATCTGGATGCGGTGAAGTCTGACATCGGCCATATTAAAGAGGAAATCAAGGAGGCCAGTGTTTTCCTGAAGGAGGAAAAGATAAGGCAGGAGGAGTATGAGATGAGAATGACCTCTGATATCTGCAACACCAGGGAGAGGTATGAGAAGCTGCTGAAGGAGGAGTCTACCCTTCTTCAGCTGCACCCTCAAAGTGCAGAGCCCGACTCTTTCATTGAGCTGAGGGCTCAAAATGACAAGGAGCTGAAAGAGATCCAGAACATCCACCAGCAGGAGGTGGAGCAGATCACCGCAGAGACTGAGAAGATCTATAGGAGCATAGAGGAGAAGCAGAAGGAGCTGGATGAGCGGGAAAAGATGCTGGAACAGGTTGAGGCAAAGTGGAGCAAAGTGAAAAAAAGGCATGACGAACTGAGTGATCTCAACACTGAGCTGAACCGGAGGAGATCCGAGCTGGAGTTGTCCATCCAGGACACAGAGGAGCAAACTAGAATCCTGCTGAAGCCAAGGGATAACATGAAGGCTGAACTGGAGGATCTGCTAGAGTCCTTCACAGACATGCTGAGCTACCAGAACAGAGAGCTTAGAGCCGTGGAGGAGAGCATCTATAAACACAAAGTGATGCTGGAGCGGATCAAAACCCAGAACAGCAGAATCCGACTTTGTTCCAGAGAGCTGGTAGAGGATCTCTGCACCTGCAGGCAGGAGACAGAAAGGTACCAAGAGGAGGTCCAGGAGTTCAACCTTAAGGCAAAAGCCTTGCTACAAGAATTAGAGGGAGCATGGAAACGAGACGTATCTGTAATTAAAGACGGCGAGAGGAGTGATGACGTCCTGTTGGTGTCGATGAATTCACTGCTGAACCAGCTGAAGAACAGGAACCAGCAGCTGATGAGTGTCGGCACACTCCTTCACCAGGTGATGGTGGAGTTTAGCAGACGGCTGGGAGATAAGGCAGGAGACAGGCAGCATGAATAAAAGTATCAATCAGAAATAAAACATCAATTAATTTAGGATTTGAATAATTTTTAACTGGTGTATACAGACTGGTGTTTTTTAAGTCTAATTCGCATGAAAAAAATATTGATCTTTCTACATTTATCTGTAAATTCCTATTTAAGCCTTCATTGTAAACACATGCAATGAATGGAAGTAGGTTTCATCTTAATGTCATGAAACAAATAGAAATGTTTGGTGAAAGTCTGCTGTTGTTATATGTATTTGACATTGGAGATTGGGAATCAAACAAATAAAGTATTCTCCCATTAGGTGACATGTCTAAACATGACATCTGTTTAAATAGCAACCCGCTCAGAGAAGTAATTAAGCCAAAAGTGTATAAAATATATTTATATACATTTTAAAAAAACCTTTGTTTGTGAATAGTCTTTATCAAGAACTCTTCAAGTGGCAGCCAGCAAAATGCTGCAGCAAATGCATCTGGCAGTAAGCTAATGCTTGTTTAAAAACTGGTTCTGCGAACTTGCCGATGACTCCAAGCTATTTTGTAAATGGTGTCCTGAAGACAATAAATTTGGTTTAGGAGTGGCAATCACAAAGCCCTGGTCTCAGTCCCATGGAGCTGACAAGGATGACCCACAAACCTGACTCAGTTACGTCTGTCAGTAGGAACGGACTCTTTGGAAGTTGTAGATGTTAAAAAAATGATTCAGTTTTGACCTAAAACAGAAACAAATTCAATCCAAAGGAATTTAAATAATCACGATCATTTTTGTTATTATATTTATTAAATAGTAGGACATATTCATTTAGTAAAAATAACTGATTGGATTATACCAGCTTCAAACTAAAAGGTTCTGTAATATTTTACCATTTCTATATCACTGTATTTAAAAATGTGGTTGTATGTTATGGGATTTCAATGCAGTTTTCTTTAATTTTCTTAGGTGATTTTAGTTGTCAGTGACATACAATAAATTTAAGTGTGTTATAAGGACAAAAGAAATTTCACTATTAGATCATCTTCCCAATTAGGCCATTAAAGAAAGAAAAAGGAAGAATTTAGGAGTGTTAAATTAAAGCTGTAAAAATGGCTAACCAGATAACTTGTGTGAAAAAGATTACTGAATCTTTTACAAATATTTTTAAGTTTCACAAATTTAGCCTGAAAAGATTTCTGACTCCTTGGCCTTTGTCTATATGTTATTGCTGGCAAAAAGTAACATATCACACTTTTAAAAATCAGGAAATAAATCAAAGAAGACGAAAAGAAAAAAAATAAATTATATAAAAAAGTCCTTTCCAAGAGCTTAGCAACATGAACGCCCTAAAGTAATTCAGTAAAATTAAATAACCAACAAGATCTGAATGTATAGGCAAATATATTAATGGTTTTAGCCCCTTATACAAAACATATTCTCATCAATATGTTCTAAGGGGGATAAATGTCATCCGTGGACATACTTCTGCCTGAAATTATGTATTTTGGGGAAAGACTGAATAAAATGCTCTCTGTTAAGAAGATCCTGCAGATCTCAGGAGGTCTTTAAAAGCACGCTTCTGCATCTTTCGGTGCTTTTTGTTTCTTAGTCACGACCTGAATGATGACAAAATCCTGCACCATGGGAAGCTGACGCCACCGGAACAATCAGCCTCTCGGTGACGTCGACTGACGGAAACAACAGCAGCAGTCCGGTTTGATGCCATCTGCTGGACAGACGCAGCCTCACTCTCGGATAATTACGTCATATGCTGGGTTCAGTTTGGTGAAGCGAGCAGGTCTGGATCTGAATGCGAAGCAGCGCGGTCTTAGAGCTAAATAAGAAATATGACACCAAGATATTATGATAATAGTTTTGTGCACTTCAGGGTTAAATTTGGTTTAGTGTGGTTCTAATCAAGTGGACCAAATCTAAGAAATGAATGTGGTTTCCAGTCACACAACAGAAAAGGAATGAAAGCACCAAGTCAAATAAATTGCTTGAACTGATAACAGGTGATTTATTTAAGTTTAACCAACTGAACATATTTAGTTTATGAATTGTAAAATTGACCCATTGTAAAAAAAAAAAAAAAAAAAAAGGTTGGTTAACCTAATTCAATTACGTGTTTTCAAATGAAGCACTTTTTAGACTGCCCCGGCTTATTCTCTAGATAAACCTCTTTATCTTCATACAACAGTTCATCTAGTGTGATTGCATACCCTGACTCTCCTAAAGAAAAAACAATACAGACAACAAAAACTCCCCACAGCCAGGATGGTCTCAGCACAGGTTTTGTGTCTTGCTTCCCCATACCCGTGAAAAAATGTCCTACCACTAAAACTCTGAAAAAAGTTCGCATTTCCAAAAGCTTGCAAAACTTAAAGTCGTATTCAGTGTGCAGTGTCACTTATAAATAAATCTAATCCACTGCTATAAAACTACATTTAATAGAAATGGTAAGTTTTTTTTAAAGCTACGCAATACTAAGAAAGTTTTATTATGTAGGGGTTACTTTCTGCGGCCAAATTCTATACATTTTATCATGATATTTTATAAACGTTGAAGAGAAGTTTATTAGCTGCAGCTGTCCATGGTGCTGAATCGCTTCTCCTTTTTTTTAACCGGCTGTTATATTTCTTGAAATTGGACCAATAAAGCGGTAGGAAGTATCGCGAGAAGAGGCAAGAAATGTTAGATTTATATATGATTTGTGTACTTATGAGGATTGAGGCTGCTTGTAAAGGAAAACGATGTGGCGTGTCACGCTACACGCGTTTAATATCACGGCGGTGACCACCCGGTCCTCAAATGATTTGGCGTTCCTCCGCCAATAAATAAATAATAATAAAAAATAAAAATAAAAATCCAGAGGAAGGAGGGATTCATTCCCAGGAAGGCAGCAGAGAAGCACCGAGGACTCCGCCCCAATCTCCAAGCTTCAGTCCGAAGTGGAGAAGAGAAACACCGCAGGCCTGACTGAGAGACCAAAGAAAAAGGAGGAGAATAAAAAAAAAAATGCAATGCATGCGGAGATGTACTCGTTTCTGAAGGAGTAGAGGCGGGAGGAGGAGGGAAACACCCAGAGGGAGCAGAACACAAAAGCACAAGTGGAGGTGCCTGCAACCATGAGCGGCTGCTTGCCTGAGCCGCGGCTGCCGCTGCCTCTCCCCCCGCGGAGCACATCGTGAGGTGCGCCTCAGGAACCTGTCAGCCGAAACGACACGCCGAGGAGAACCAGGAGGAGGAGGAGGTGGTGGTGGAGGTGGGGCGGTGGTGGTCGAAAAGATGTCCGCCTCGGTGGGGCCCCAGGGCGGCCCTCGCCCACCCACCGTGCCGCCGTCCATGCCGGATCTGCCGGACCTTAGCCACCTCACCGAGGAGGAGCGGAAGATCATCATGGCAGTGATGGCTCGCCAGAAGGAGGAGGAGGAGAAAGAACAAGCCATGCTTAAGTAAGATCAACAATTCAATTAAACCATTTTGTTTAAGTACAACGCAAATCCTTAGAACTAGAGGCAATATGTAACCTCCTAAAATACACCAGCCATCATTTTGCGCTTCTATGGGCATCTTAAAGATGTAAGACCCCAGAAATCATACGATTTACATCCTTTCCCTCCCTTAAATCAAGCCAGTAAGTGGTTAGAGTGGGCGAGGATGGCCTGAAACAGGGTCAGTATGTGTTACAGGTGCAGGTGCGAGGATGGGGTGGGACAGAAATAGGAGGTGGGGGGTGCAAGGATGAATCATAGGCTTTTATCTCTTTCATCCATTCATTTTCATCAATGGAGGACTGCACCCCAACCCTGAGTTTACATATCCACCATCAGCTCCGCGGTGATTTCCCATTTTACGCACGCCCGAATGCCATGCGCTGTTAAAAGCCGATATTATAACCACAGAGCTGGTTTATGAATGGTATTGTGGTGCGCTGTACGAGCACTTGTGCCCTCCTCTTCCGAGAGATGAAGATGGGGTGTGGTTGGAAGATCATGCAGGCCTGAACCGGACAGACTGGAACAGAGAGTAAAATTATACTGGGATGTTTGCAAACGTTCTGTGTATAGTGATCAGGTTGCACTTTGTCGTATAGGAGCATCACAGAAAGGAATGAAAAAAATGATTAAAAAAACCCTGTACAGCTGAACTCACGTTGAGGACTGGATGTGCTCCAGCTCCCTAAAAGAATCTGGGTTTGCATGGAGTCAAGCAGTCTTAGAGCTTGCACTATACATCAAAGCCCCAAAGCCCACCCCAGCAGGGAGAATATTTGCCAGAGCTGTTTATCAGGTGTGCAGCATCCTCAGGTTTTTGCTTTGGTTCTAATGGCTGGCTTCATTTCCTGACTGCAGCCTAAAGAGAAGCTCAGTGAGGGCCCCTAGAGAGGAAGGGATGTATTTAATGTTCCATGAGGCTCAGGCGCAGGTTCATAATGGCTTCATCATTTGGCTAATCATTAATGGAGCCAGGGCACCATGAACAAGGGACAGATGGGATTTTTACAGAAATTTGCTGATAATTGCGAGGCAGGCTCTGATGTTTACTACAGTGTGCAGCATAATCAGATGCTGGTATTAAATGAATTTCATTACTCCTCTTCTTGATTAATAGTGACAATTCAGTGCCTTGCACAATTATTCATACTCTTGAACTTTTAGACTTTTTGTCACTTTGAATTCTAATGGGGTTCAGTATCATAGTTAGAAATACTCAAAGTTAAAAAATAGTGAATAAGTTTGAGCGCTGTTTATTTCATTTTAATTGTGTTTACAAATGTTGATACTTTCTGCCGCAAATCCAGCTGGAGGTGTTTGATTGCATGTTTCTACCTGTTTTTCACAGGTAGAGACAGAACATTGTTGACCACAATAGCTCACCCAGTCAGAGTGAATAAAAAGGGTCTGGGAAATAACATTTTTAGATCCATTCTCACTCATTGTGTATGTTTAGTGTAGGGTTGCATAATTTTACCTCCCAAGGAGGTTATGTGGTCATTGGTGTTGGTTTGTCTCTTTTAAATATAACAACAAAAAAGTTATTGATGGATTTTGTAGAAAATTTCAGAGTATGTACATATTGTGCTTTACTACACATGATACAATTTTTGTGTTGATCCAGATTACCATCTGGATTGAGGATTTTGTGTAAAGATTTTGTGAATACAGATATTATCTTAAGGTGGAATTCCTGATATGTTGGGGGAAATTAAATACTTGGCAGAGGTCTGTGCTATCCAAGGTCTTTTCCTGTTATAAATGGTTTTGATTATATAAACAATCATTGACTGTTCAGCCATGACAGTAATGTTTTTCATATTATATGACAAGGCATGATTTACTGATATTTCACTGACCATCATAGGTACAGTATGTAGTAAGTGATTATGTTACAACAGGTGTTTAGTTTACACATGTTTTGCTGTACTGGGCAAAAACAGATGTAACATAAAACCCTTAATTTTAGAATTGGGAAATATGTGGATGACTTAAACAAAAAAAAAAAAGCAAAAAAAGCAAGCATGTTAAAAAAAATAAAATATACTTCTTTTGCTTTATTCTTTTTCTTAAATACACCTTTTTGAGGGTGACAGTGGCGTCGAGTGTAGGAGCTTGCCCTGAAATCGAAGGGTTGACGGTTAAAGCTCCGGCTTTCAGTGTCATTGTGTCTTTGGGCAAGACACTTCACCAGAATTGCCTATTGTGAGCCCCAGTGCAGCTGTGGCTACAATGTAGCTTGACACCTTCAGTGTGTGAGTTTGCGTGTGAATGGGTGTAAGACTGAATGACTGAATGTAGTGTAAAGAGCTTTGAAGTCTCCATATATTTTATAAATAAACAGACACCAATAAACATTGGTGTGAGGTCTTTTTATAAAAGTTAATAGGTCTTTATAAATATCTGTAATAATATGCCTGAGATAACATCCTAATTAGCAGCCACAGCACAGCCTGTCACTACTGTATTGATTTCTTTTAGTATATTATATAGATAGTTCATTATAATTTGGATAAGAAGCAAATAATTATTTTTAAGTTCCAGTATTCTTACAAAAAGAACATCATTTGTCCACCTGCCAGGGTTATTCGGTCTGTCTGAGACTGGAGCATGTGGCACTGGTAAGGTTAAACTGATACACGACTTCTATCTGTCTCAGCTTCAAGCAAAAGGTCTGAACTGGAACACCTGCTACAGCAGGTGAGAAAGCAACACCTGAGCTTTCTTTATCTGTAGTTAAAGAAAGAGACTTCATATCTCTAATCATTTTGGTTGAACTTGCAGCCAGAAGATGAATGAAGATCCCTTTAGTTTAATAGTATAAGACTTCATGGTAAATATTAAGCAGGTAGAGCAGGAAAATCCCACGGCTTAGAGCACCTAAACCAAAGAGGGGTAATTCCTGAATTTATTTAGTCAAGAATCTCAAGTTTAATATATGAGGTTTGTTTGGCTATATTATCCTGTCATATTTAACCTAATCAAATACTTTTTCCAATCTGGCTTTGTTAACATATTTCATCAACCCAATACCTTTTGTTACCATATTTAGACTTCATCACCTTTTTAATTAAAGTGATTCTCACCTTTCACATTCTACCATTTTAATTTGGTTTTAAAAAGGGTACTGCTGCTTTTCTGTGCATTTTACATAACACTTCGCTCAGGAGACTTGACTCAGCTATAAGAAGTGAACAATCCAATTTTTCTTTTCATTGAAATGCTGTATCTTGCAAAAGTTTATTTTTAAGCCCTTGTGAAAAATTAGACGATATATTATTTTGGATGTTTTTAGGTGTGTTATCACAGTGTATACTTGCTTTAATACAACTTAAAGTAAATCTGCTGCTCTTTATTGTTTGTGAGTGGTCTGAATAAATAATTTAGCTTTCGACTGTGAAATAATAATTGTGTTATGAAACTATTTAAAGTTTGTGCTTGGGGTCCAAAAAAAAGTAAATGACTTTAAACATGAACTTAACTTCTGTTTTGTTTGCCAAAACATATTTAATTAAAGGTAGCTGCCGCCATTGTCTGGGGATGTTCTGTTTGTTTTCTGTTTAAAACCTATTAGCACTGTCCTGTTCTATTCTGTCTTTGTTTGAAAATGAATTCTTATGCTCTAACACAAGTCTAGATATGCTTTTAAGGTGCCATACATTTGAAATTAAAAAAGTTTTTGCCATTTGTGCAGGAAAATTCTTCCCAGATTAGGCACACAGCATGTACCAAACAGCTCATTCAGCCCTCTTCTAAACGAGCTGCTGTGGCTTTCCACACCCCTGTCCTCCCAAAGGCTGCGGCCACACCCCCAACCGTCATAGAGTCAGAGTTTGTAAAGATAGCAGTGTCATGATTTGGTTTAAGGATCTGACCCAAAATGCAGAGAACCACCCAGAGAGTAAGGCAAAGGTTTAAACAGGTTTATTGTGGTAAGGGTTGAGGGGTTGGATCTGGTGCTCAGAGGGCCGGTGAACAGGACCTGGAAGGGAGGAGGGAAGTTCACAGACGTGAGTTCAGGATCCGTGGGAACTTTGAACGATGACTTGGAGAAACAGAAAACGGGACTCACGTTAGTGGAGAAAACTTTCTTCCCAGAATCCAGTCTGAGTGGGTTGATCCAGTGGAAGAGACCCGTTGGAGGGCGCACAGGTTTAAACTTGGTTGGGTCTTGAACGGAACTTGTGGAGGTTAATCCCCTGCTCAGTGTGACACTCAAACAATTCTTCCAGGGGAAGAAAGCCAAAAAACATCCAGCTTGCAGGATGGCTTCCCAAAACTGGCAAACTCTCTGGCCACGAGGTAGTGACAGTCCACTGCTTAAGTACTCCTCCCGATAATGATCCAACGAGACGCAGGTGTGCAGGGAGGACAGGGAGCCACCTGGTGGTTGAGGGAGAGACAAACACAAACAACAGACCACACAAACTGGATTCCTGACTGACAGGAGCACGGAATAATACATTAGATGGCCTTAGCATGACTGACGGGCTGCTAAAGGCCTCACTAGACAGCTTATTTCCCCTTATGACATCATCTTTTGAAACAGAGCATTTTGAACACAGATTAGCTAAGAGGCAGAGAAAGGCAGTGAAAGAGGTAAAAGTTTTTTTTTTTATTGTGAATCTCATACTCAGGCTTCAGACACAGATTTTATATGAGATCGACCATTAAATAGCCATTATTAGTGGTTATCAGTCCCATAGAATGTCTTCAGACTGCGCCTCCTCTACCTTCTAGTTGTCAAGTGGAAGTTGATGTTTGACAGGACCCAAATGCAGACACAAGAGCTTAAGGTGGTTACTTGAAGCAAAAATCTAAAACATAAATCCACAAAATCCACAAAAACTGAGAACCAGGAATTTTCATATGAAGGGGGCAAAGAAACGACAACAAACCAGCCAAGAGTAACTGAACAGGAGGAGAATATATAGGAGAGAAAAACAAAGGCCAGGCTA